GTTGAAATGTATTTCAGATCACCCCCATAGCACTTTTTAATCATGTTCTTTTTTCCCCCAATTAATCTTTGTTATTTAGATTTCATGCCTTTTTGTTGGCAATATTTAATAATAATGTTGAAAATGAAAAGCATTGTGACATTAGGCATAAAAACTGGCCTGGAAGCCAGAAATACCTGGGCTTGTGTCTTGCCTCAGATACATACTGGCCATGTGACCCCGACCAAGTGTTCTGGTCAGCTCTCCAAGACTATAAATTGCAGTGGAAGTGCTAACCTGCATTGGTTGGGAGAATTCTTGACTTGAGAGTTCACCCTACCATTGAAATCCCAGTTTCAGTCCCTCTCCTCTGCCTGATACTCAAAAATATAGCTTTGTGTTGCTTTTGACCTTAACCAGTGAGGTCGATGAGGAATGTTTGTATCTCAGGATTCAGGTCTACTGGGATTTTATTTGTATAGGCCATTCCCAGTTGAGGAGGTCATGGCCTTCATCACATTAGAGAAGTGCCCAGGTCACAAAGAAATGACTGCCTAGAGTTACATAGCCAGTGTGGGACATAAGTGGGTTTGAAACCAGTTCTTCTTGGCTGCAAGGCTATCTTTCTTTGCCCCTACACCAAGTTACCTCTCAAATACCTTCCCTGGCTAGAAACTAAATCAAGGCCATGGTGGTAAGAGCAGTGAATCCTAACCACTAGACCAGTGGTTCTCAAATGTTTTGCTCTTTACACCCTTAAAAATTATTGAGAACTCCCCAAAGTTTTTAGGACTCCCCAAAGTGTTTATGTGGGCTATAGCTATCATTATTTACTATATTAGAAATGAAAACATCTTAGTATTGTTATAAAAATAGTTCTGACCTCACGAGCTTACCTAACAGTGAACCAGAGATCCCCAGGGGTCTCCAGGTCATATTTTCAGAACTTCTGCAATAGAATACCAGAGAACTCAGAGATAAAGTGCCTTTTTGCTACATTCTTAGCAACATAATTTCAGGAGACCTACAGGAAGGTCATTAGCACATTGGGAAATCCCTCTCTGTGAAGGAGAATCATTGAGAAGGCTTGGCTGGGTTGTTCTCTGTACTAAATAGTATAGGGTAGAAGATAATACCAAAATTGCTAACTTCCATTTTCGCCAGCAGATCATTAGTGGATAAAGAGCCAGCCTCAGAGTCAGGAAGACCTGGGTAACAATAACAACAATAAAAACAATAGCTAGCATTTCTATAGTGCTTACTCTGTGCCATGCACTATACTAAGCACTTTACAATCATTATTTCATTTGATGCTCACAACAACCCTAGGAGTTGGTGGTATCCCCACTGTACAGCTGAAGAAACTGAGGCAAACAAAGGTTAAGTGACTTGCCCAGGGTCTTACACAGGTAATAAGTCTCTGAGGCTGGATTTGAACTCAGGTCCATAGGGGACCATGAGAGGCAGCATGTGGATAAAGAGCCATCCTCGCAGGAAGATCTAGCTTCAAATCCTCTTTCTGACACATATTGGCTGTGGGACTGTGGGCAAGTCATTTAATCTCGTGGTGCCCCTAAGCAACTCTCTAGTTGCAGAACAGATACTAAACAGCACTTCCAGAAGGAATTTCCTCTTAGAAAATTCCCTATCCCAATGTACTAACCCTAACCCTAGTACAAAAAAAAAAATAGAGAAACTATCATTTGTATGTTGTAATCAGATAGTCTTTTCATTAGTTTTCAATTTTAGTTTTTTTACTGGCACAATAAATATGAATGAAGTTAATTTATCACACAATAGTGCCTAGGAACAGGCTGTCTAACAATCTAACCTCATGAGATAATGAAAAAGTAAGCTTTCAATCCTTTCTCTTTTTTAGAGTAACACATTGTCTTAGAAGTTATTGAATTATTATGAAAAGACTCAGCGTCTTCACTAAAATAACAATAACTTACATTTATGTAGAATTTTTTGGCCTACAGATTGTTAGTCTATAACAATAATACAGAGCAAACATCTATAACATGTAACTATCACATGTGTATCATTATCCTCATTTCACAAGATGAGGAAGCAAAGGCTCAGAAAACTTAAGTGATTTGTCCCTGGTCATTCACTGGTGTGAGGGCCAAGATTTGAACTTGTATCTCCTGACTCCCTCCTTCCATTCAGCAGGCAACCACATGAAGTGGAAATTGGCGCTCGCACACACACACACACACACACACATCTTGTGTTAGTAAAACAGAGGCTCATTTTCATTGTTTGGAGGTTTATATGTCGTTGTGGACTCATTCAATCACAGCATGCATAAGCTGTCAGAGTTTGACAGTAAACTCCAGGTATTTAAATAGGGATTAAGCTCTTCATCTCTTAAACCTTGTGGAGTCGGGGGTGGAGAAGGGGTGGGGGAGAGGATTGTTTAAGGGACCTTAAAGCCAACACAACTGTACCAACTAAGAATTAGGCCTTAAACACCTTCCTGGGCTACGGGTTCAAATGCCAGCTGAACCTTTCGTTCAAGAATCCAGATTAAATGCTATTCACTGCAGTTTCCAGTGTTTAAGGTGATTTGAGAAACTCAATGACAAATGTCATATTATTAACACTAAACAAATTTTCATTTTAAGAGTGCTGCGTGGACTTTCTAGTTAAATAGAGCTCATAGGGAATGGTATGGTAGGTGGCTTCATTGAGGTAGTATTTAGAGTTGAACTGCTCTGCCTCCTCACTTTTGAATGCCGGCATCAGGTTGTGATCTTTGGATTACACACATATGTCCCGCCCCACAAAAGCAGGGCCATAGTTAAGATGCCTCCACCAGTGCCTTTTTGCGCACACTTCCATACTCAAACATTAGGCACAATAGTCGACTTGTGCCAGCAGATGGCCCATTGCGAGTTGGCAGCTGTGGGGTGGCTGGCCCTAAATTGCAATTCTGAAATCAGAGTAAGCCTTGGAGGACTTTAGTCGTGCTTCCCTTTGTATTAGAAATCTTCTGTTTCTTGTTAGGCTGTGGAACAAGCCATCTGAGGCACTAAAGAAGCACCGTCTGCCCCTCTCCACAATCATACCCTTGAACTTAAAATCCTCATTATCCTTGTTGTTCTCTGCTGAGAACGATGCAGGCCATTTCCTACTCCCTGAAAACAGAATCCAACCTTTTACCGTTTTCCATGGGTCTTTCATTTTGGATTTAGGGGGTACTAGATTTGGGATTTCATTGGTATAGGAACTCCCTAGGAAGAAAATTCAAGTGAGCACCTGCTCTCCATTTTATAGCCTTGGAGAGCATGTTTAGAGCATGGGCAGGTTAAATGATTTGCTGGGGTCATAACAGCCAGGCCTTCCTGATTCTGAGGCCATTTTACTAGTCATTATTCTGTGTTGTCTATTTTTAAGGGGCAGCTAGATCGTGCAGTGGATAGAGTACCCTGCCTGGCTCAGGAAGACCTGAGTTCAAATCTAACCTCAGATACTTACTAGCTGTGTGATCCTGGGCAAGTCATTTAACCTTGTTTACCTCAGTTCCTCATCTGTAAAATGAGCTGGAAGGGCAGCTAGATGGCACAGTGGATAGAGCAGCGGCCCTGGATTCAGGAGGACCTTAGTTCAAATCCGACCTCAGACACATAACAGCTGTGTGACTCTGGGCAAGTCACTTAACTCCATTGCCTAACCAAAAATAAAATAAAATAAAATAAAATAAGCTGCAGAAGGAGATAGCAAACCATTCCAGTATGCTTGCCAAGAAAACCCGCTCTAGACTTTGACCTTGTTTTGATGGTGATGGTTATATGCTGAAACCTCTTGGAGATTCCAAAGACCCTAGCTTTGAAGCTTGCTCTTTTCTACCTTCTCTGTTCCGATATTCAACCTGAAACAAATTTGATAGCTGGGAGTTAATCCTCCTCTTAATGGTAAAAGTTCCTTTGACTCCAATTTCATTGTTCGCTATCCTACAATTTGCTGGCTCTCTTAAAATAGAACAGCCTGGTGCTGCTAACCAACACATACCTTCTCCTGGCCCTTCTGCTGCTTCTTTCCATCTCACTGTATTCAGCGTGCTAAGTCTTTATTCTACCTTACCACCATCCCTTAGGAAGGATTTATTCTAGAATCTAGATCTATAGTTAGGAAAAGTATTAGAACCCATAGTAAATAATTTCAGAATAATCATTCCTCCTAATAAAGGCAGGATCTGGTACCACAGCATCTTCCTTATTATGTGAAAAATGTCAGGTATAAACATTGGTGCAAAACAATCTCTAAAAGGTATCTGAGAAACAGCAGCAGGTAGTGTTTTCTTTATACCTGCCATCTCTTAAAGAGAATCTTGCAAATGTATGCAACTCACTATGTGAAATAAAACCTGCTGCACATGTGATAGTTTGTTCTAAGTACCAAGGCAACCCAAAGTTCAGGTGCTTCAGTGACCTAACAGAAATATACAGCCATAGTCTGCTTTCTTGTATCTTAATTTGTGATCCCTACAATAATAGATTTCAAATTTTGCTTCCCTTGAAAAGCTCTTAGGATGTCTTTGGTTTAGGGCTATCTTTTTTTTTATGAACTCAATAAGTTGGTAAAAAGGCTGTTAGAACTCAAAAAAGTATTCTTTTTGTAGTATATAAAATGTAGATACTGTTACTTAATGGTTTTGACACGCATTAACCCATCATTTGGAGCAGACATCCCCAGATCAGCTTCCTCAAGCCTTCTGTGACCACTCGTTTCTTTGGTATTATCTCAAAATTAGGTCCTAATTTTTTCATTCATTTTGTGAGAAATTGGGACAAAGGAAATGAGAGGAAAATTTGGAGGCAATTTGAAGTGTTATTTGATTAATAGGAACACTAGCTTATATGGGTTTGGGGAAAGGAAAGATTTCAAGTCAATTTAAGGAATTATTCCTAGCAGACGATAGTTAGTGATAGAGGAGTTGAAACAAGAAGATATCTTTTTTTAAATTGATTTGTATAAACAGATTGCTTATTGTCTCTTTGCTCCATTTGTTCCAGATAATTGACAAGAGTAAAAGAGATCCCTCAGAAGAAATTGAGATTCTCTTACGATATGGACAGCATCCAAATATCATCACCCTGAAGGATGTAAGTAGCCTCACCACAAACAAGATGTTGCTATTCTTTCTACTGCTATTCTCTGTTTCATCAGTGGAAAGGAAGTCGTTTTGTGTTTCTGCATAACTTAAAGGAGTTATAATGCACAGCTCCCCCTAATAGGCTAAGCTTCACCTTCCGCATCATCTACCCTACAATATCATGTATACCCAATTAACTGAACTCCATAGAGTAGCTGGACCATATGCTTACATCGCTATTTTGATCACTATCCCTCTTCCCATCCTGTAATTTGTATATAAAGGATAAAACTATCTCTTTTGTGAATTGTCAATCAGATGTAATTTTCTTATCCTCCTAATTTATAATTGTGGCTTGAAAACGTAGAAGTAATTGACTAGGAACTGTATCAAAAAACAAGATATCTGGGTTTTATTTCTTAATTCTTTCACTATTAAGCCCGGTTCTATTTCTATTTCTTTATCTGTAAAAGAGGTTCATACTTGGTTACTTCCTAGAAATCGTTGGTATTTCTCTCAAGGTGCTCAGTGGCTATTTTTCTTTGCTGCATGTGGCCCAGGGAGCAGTCACTGATTGGTCCACTCAGCACTCCCACAGGATTGTCATGTTCCTATGGTAAAAGAAATCTGAGAGGCAAGAGGGACAGTATACCTCCTCTTGAACTCCAGAGTGCCTTTAGGAATCCTTAAATCTAGAGTTTAAAAGTGTCATAGAATTTCAGAGTTGGAGTGGATCCAGAATCCATCAAGTAGAATCTGTATCCAAAAAAGCATCCTTAACACAAGATACCTTGCAAGGGAATAAATAGCTTTTGCCTGAAGACTTCCAGGGAAGGGACCCTCACCACCTCCTGAGGCAGTCCATCTGTGTGTTTATGAAATGAGTTGTTTCCTGCAAAGTTCCACTCTATTCCTGTATAGCTCCTGGCATGGAAAGACTTCCATGGTAGTATTGTGTGGGACAGAGACCACTAGATACTTTGAAAGCAGAAAGGAGTTTATTGCTTTCTCATGAGAAAAGGTACCAACCACCCCTAGTCACCATTGCTGGGTAGGAGAGTACGAATTCTTATTTATTCCCTAACGAGAGTTCCTCCTTCCTAACCCCCTTCCCCTTATCCCGCTGGCTGGGCTTTCAAGAGGCACAATCTATTCACAGATCTTCCCCAGCAACAGAGAGTTACACAAGTTTTCCCAGAGACAAGAAAAGGCGGGAAGTTTTGCAAGGGCGAGCAGTTCAGGCTGGGGGCAGGGCTATTCTTTCTGCTAAGTGCTTAAAAACAGGGTCTGAGCTGGGGTGGGGGGTGGGGAGTGTTGAGAGCAACAATCAAGAGCTATTAACAAGAGCTACTGACCCTTTGAGGCAGCTTCACTTCTGAGAGATCATCTCTCACAGTATTCCACAGCAATAAACTATTAAATTAAATGTAGCTTTAGATTAAAGTAATGCCTCAATTTCATAATCTTCTCATTATCTAATTTATTGTAATTATTGTTATTCTTATTAATATCTCAAATTTATAGAGATACTTAAGGTTTGAAAAGTACTTTATATCTATTTTCATTTGTACCTCACAACAACTCTATGAGATAGGTGGTATTAACCCCATTTTACAGATGAGGAAACTGAGGCTCAGAGTGGTTCGCCTTGGGTCACATAACACATGCGTTTGAGACTGAATTCTCGGTGAGGTCTTTATCCACCAGCCCACTGTCCCTTATTCATGTGTTGCTGACCAAATACAGAAACCAATCCTACAAGCTTCCAGGTATTCCACATTACTTCTATAAAGTTCTAGGATAATTTCAGAAACAGAGAAATTACAATTTTTGTATTTTATTTTATTTTAGCTATGGGTTGAATTGACAGTGAGATAAAAGCAATTAAGTTAATTTTTAGAACATTACTTTAGTAACAGTTATTTGAAAGTCCATTGCATTTTAACTGACTTGAAATTACGAACAATGGATTAAACTGGCTGTGAAGAAATAACTGTAAGTGGATAGGGTATAAGTGTAAATGAGAATTGTCTTAGGTCTAAGGAGGCCTTCTTGGAGAAACCACACCCTTAGGAAAGCTTGTTGCTTCAGAGGGTGCTATCAGAGGAAGACACTAGGCCAATTGTCAGAACTTTTTCCTTTAAAGAAATACCTTTGCCCTTAAGTTATTTTGGCCCTTGAGGCTCTTGCCCCAGAATACCTCTTTCTCATCCTTCCACTTTGCACATGTTTTAAGCTCATTCTGCAAGGGAGGTAGTTCTGGGGGAGAGAATTAAGAGCCTAGAGCAACTGCAAGAACTTACAACAGGGGAGGAGAGAAAAAGGAAAGAGCCCAGGGAAAGCCACAACAGACAGGGAGGGAGGCATAGGATATTTTATATGTGTGATCTTGGAGAGCTGGTATAGAATGTTCTACTGAGCAGCATAAATCTTGGGGCTAGAGTAGATGGGGAATCCTCTGCACTAATAAAGGCTTTCAGAACTGCACCTCTGTTGGTCTGGTTAGCTTCAAGGCAATACAATGTTTTGACACAGGTCATAACAAAGATATTAATAGGATTTAGAGCTGGAAAGAACCTAAGAGATCATATAGTCCAACTTCATCATTTTACAGTTGAAGAAAAGGAGACGAAGAAAAGCTTGTGGACTTGCCCAAGGCCACACAGGAGCAAAGTCAGGACTCCAAACCTAAAAATACAGTGCTTTTTCCACTTCAATACACTATCTACATGGAAATCAGCAAATCTGAAGTTGCTTTTCCAGTAAGAGGAGACCACTTGAGTGATGTTTCCTGCTAAGGATGACCCTTGGGAAAAATTCTCTTTATCAAGTTGATTTAACTCTACTTGAAGTTTTATTCTATATTCTGGAAGATCCTCTACCAGTTTGAAGATCGACTTCTCAACATGTTTTAGTTTCCCAAATAGACCTTCATAATACTAGTAATAGTTTAATTTACAAATTCATATATATATGACAATGTTCTTTACATGTCTTTTCCTCATTTAAGCCTCACAGTCTTATGAGGTAGGTAGTTCTCTTTTATCAAATGAGAAAAACAAGGCTGAGTTAGATTAAATTAATCTAATTAATTAATTGAAATCACACATTAACTTAATTTAAACCACAGAGCTAGAAAGCAGGCATACTCAGTTCTTTTGACTCCTAATTCAGTGTTCTGATTAAATTACACTGGGACTTAACACATTAATAACATGACAGATGGACCAGAGTATCACTAAGACTATGAGACTGATGTCATAATGCAACCTGAACAAAGACTATACTTTGACCATTTCTCCTACCTCTATAAAATGCTACTTCCACATTTTTCTGACTATATAGCAAACTGGTCATATTTGCTTCTGCCTTCATATTCTGATAGATGAATTCCCCCAGAGAAACTTACCTGACCTAATCTTAAGTAACACATTTGTTGGCAATTTTGATCACAAAAGAGTGAAAAATAGAGATTATATAAAGGAGTGAATGATTTTGTTGTTGTTCAGTCATTTTCAGCCATGTCTGACTCTTCATGACCCCATTTGGGGTTTTCTTGGCAAACACACTGAAGTGGTTTGCCATTTCCTTCTCCAGCTCATTTTACAGTTGAGGAAACTGAGGCAAACCGGATTAAGTGACTTGCCCAAGGTCACACAGCTAGTACATGTTTGAGGTCTCATTTGAATTCAGGAAGATGGTCTTCCTGATTCCAGGTCTGGCACTCTATCCACCACACCTAGTAACCTCACAGGTTAAGTGAAATTATGAAGAAAATTTGCTTGAGGTACACATAGGTATAAAGTTTTGGCAGCCCTAATGATATAGCTTATTAACATTGAATTTTGTAGTTTATTCTTAAAACTGAATTTTCATGGAGGTGATGACAGCAGAGAGAGAGAGCTACTTCTGATGTAGATTAGAATAACTGTTCACTTGTTTCCCAGGAAGGATTTTTTTTTTTTGGCTCCCCCGTCAACACTCCAGACACTATCAACTAATATTCTGTTCTGTTTCTTCTATGGTTTCTTCAAGCACCATTTGATTTTCTCTAAGAGGTGCTACAATGCTTCACAGTAATGATCCTGGATTATTATAGAACCACAGGCATTTCCTAATTCAGCAGGATTATGAAGTCCTTTAACTTCTACCTTTCTCTGATCCCCTAGGTCTACGATGATGGAAAGTATGTTTACCTTGTGATGGAGCTGATGAGAGGCGGGGAGCTTTTAGACCGCATCCTCCGACAGAAATATTTCTCAGAAAGGGAGGCCAGTGCTGTGCTCTGTACCATTACTAAGACTATGGACTACCTCCATTCCCAAGGAGTAAGTTTCTAGCTTTCTCCTGCATGATAGTTATGATCATGAATATCATCATTTTAATAATAAAAATAGGAACAATAAAATGAGTTATGAATTTATGAAGTTGGAATTAAAATATTGCTTTAATTCCTGTTGAATCAAAACTTTATAGAAATTAAATTATTCTTCCATTAAATACGCCTGTGTACAAATGCCAAAGCATTCACACGTAGGTAGTTTAGGGAGAAAGTAGTTTCAGTGCTTCAGGGATCCAGTGGAAAGTAAGCTAGTTGAAGGTAGGGCCTAACGTTTTTGGGGTTTGTTTATTTGTTTGTTTTGAGTGGAGGGGAACCGGATCCATGATTTTCATTAGTAAAAATTAGTTCACTATGAGAAAACTTCCTCTATGCATGCAATTCAGTATTTTCTCTGCAATATACAGTCTTAAAAAGTTTCCTAGGTTACTAAGTAGTTAAGTGACTTGCCCAGGGTCATAAAGGCAATCAATATGTGTCAGAGAAGATACCTAAACCCATGTCTTCCTGACTCTAAGGCCAACTCTCAATCTACTACACCACCCTCCCTCTCACATACTAGGTGCTTAATAAAGGTATGTCAAATGTTGAATGAATCCATGATTTCATTGATGGATCTTTGAAGATCCAAACTTTACTTGAAGCCTTTGCAACTTGGTAAGATTTACCATAGCTTGTGCCCCACTGTCATCATTTTCAAAAACTAAGGGTCACTTCCGTGACAGAAGGACAACTCTAGTGGAAAGAAAGAAAAGTAAATGAATTGAATTAAAGCTGAAGATTTGGGGATATGTCCTGGCAAATTCATACTGTACAGTGAGATGATCCCCCAATGGAACTGTATTAGTATTTTCCTTAACTTGATACTTTTATACCTAACTAAATAAGGGAAGATGGGGGATATTCTAGGGAATGGCACTACTTAGCCATGGGAATGATGATTACATCATTGACAGTGGTAATTACCTATTTTCCCGTCATTCCTGTGAAACCTCTAATGCTGTGTAGTTAGGCTATGTGTCCTTCTTATTTATTCACTAAAACAAGTTGATGACTTCAAGACCACACAATGCTTTTTAGCTGTATAACTATCTGGGAGGATAGAAGAAGAAAACACTTGTTTTCCCCCAGTATGGCCCAACTCCAGAGCTAGCACTTGTAATAATGGCTTGGTTTGGTTTGGTTTTCAGGTTTTCTTATGATTAATAAAAAGAGATAGTGGAAGTTAAAAAAAAAAACCATTTCATCATCTTTCTCTTGGGGCCTAGCTGTACTGAGTCTGATTCCTAAGTCCCTTCTATTCCTCTTTACTGCTTGGATTCTCTCCCTTGATTTTTTTAATAGGAGATTTGAGATGTTCACAGCCCTAGCCTACGTAGGGATCACAGCACATTATTATAGTAATCCTCTTTGCTCCCCTTCAAGAGAAATGACTTTTCCACCTAAATACCTGCCTTGCTTTGACATATCCATATATGATTTTTAAAAGGTAGATGATATTATTTAGGTTAACCCAGCCCACATACTTCCTTTTAACAAAATAACTCATGATGTCCTACCTTCTCTTTCTGGTAGGAATGTATTTACTTATCTCTCAAATTCACTATTCAAATTTCAAATTAAAATTTCAAATTCAAAATTCAAATTCACTATTAGTCAGGGCTCCTGATGCTAGATTTCTGAATCTGAGTGACAGATCAGAATGGGAGAGGAGGATGAGAAAAAGAAAGAGAGTGAGAAGAAAGATGATAGATAAACTCTTCAAATAAGACAATGGCCTATTGGTTATAATTGCTCTGCTTCCTGTCGAGATATCAGTTCAGAATATACATGTTCTACATAAATCCATCCCTTCTGGCTTTATTCAATCTTTTCTCCTGTTTGCCTTGTGCCAGCCCCTGAATGGTTAAGAGTGTTTTATGTCTCTCCAGGTTGTTCACCGAGATCTGAAGCCCAGTAATATCCTATACATGGATGAGTCTGGAAATCCAGATTCCATCAGGATCTGTGATTTTGGATTTGCCAAGCAACTGAGGGCAGAGAATGGACTGCTCATGACGCCATGCTACACCGCTAATTTCGTGGCCCCTGAGGTCAGAGCTCACAAACCATTAGAAAAATATACCCCAGTCATCCTTAAGAAAGCCACCAACTTTTTCACACCTTCTCAAAAAAAAAAAAGCCTTCAGTTTATTTTTTTTTATTAATAAAGATTCACCCAAAATACATTTATAAACAAAAATGATAAAATCATTTTTCCCTTTCATGTCAGTGGCAGTTTGAATCAAAAGACCTAAGCCCAGGAGGGACCTTAGATATTGGTTAGTCCAAGCCTCTCATTTTATAGATGAAGAAGCTGAGACCTGGAGAGGACAAGTAACTTGCCCAGGGTCATGTAAGGTAGTAATTAGTGGAGTTGAGATTGGAACCCTAATCCTTTGTTGTGAAACCCTATGCTCTTTTACCTATGCCACAGTGGAATTGGGATCAGTGATCAGGGATTTTTCTCCTAATTCAATCCCTACGAATCTCTCAATGACCTTACACCCAGCACTTCACATTTTATTTTCCTATTTGTGAAATATGAAAATGATCTCTTGCTTGTTTCTGGTTAGCATGATGCTGGCAGAGAGTTTGGATGGTGATTGACTTGATTTAGGATTAACTATAAGCAACTAATTTGGACTACATATATGTATGTATGTGTATATGTACATACATAAATCTGTATGTGTATGTGTACATACATATATGTATGTATATGCACGTATATGTGTATGTTTATATACACATATAATATCCTCCTTTTCCTTACAATGGAATGTAGTGTCTTGTCTAGAGATCAATTTAATAAATATTTCTTAAATGCAATGCCTTAAGCAATGAGACTACAAAGATGAAAAACTATATAATTCTTGCCCTTGTAGCATTTAGTTTAATGGAAAATATCATATATACGTGAATAAATATGACACAAGGTTGAAATGTGATAAGAGAGAAGGAGACAGAATAGGAGAATTCAGGGTGGGGGAGAGAAAGATGAGAAAGCAGTTAGTAACATAGCTATGACAGCATAATATCGATATTTACTGAGTGTTAGATATTTATTGGACATAATTTGTATCCTAATTCCTACTTGAGATTGCTGACTATCATAGGAAAGGCAGAGAACAGACACTAAAATTAATAACATTAAAGATTCATGAAAACCTCAGAATGGCTGGGTTGCCAGTAAAACCTGAAAATGAATCCTGAGGGCTATTTTCTAAGAGTTTTCCATACCTTCAGGTTATAGGCTTCAGTAAGAACTTTATGTTTTTTCCTTCCTTTTCAAGCTCTCTTTCAACCCTTTCAACTACTTTGTAATGTTAGTAATGTGGCCCATGTAGATTAATCAGTGTCTTTAGGAATGCAGCTAAGCAGAGTCATAACTAGCTATTATTGTGCCTGAACAATTAAGAGGAATTGGGATAGAGATAGGACTGGGAATGGGAAGAATGAATATGCCCTGGTATATCTCAAGGTTGCTTCTGAAAAGGGAGAAAGCATTCCTCAGGTCAAAATTATCAACATGTTGAGTATGTGAAAGAGAAGGTATGGTAGGGAAGAGTCAGGGAAGAAAAACACACTCCAAAACAATGCTATGGAGCCCCTCAAAATTTTTCACCATGAGGTAAGACATAGATGGCCTCACCCTAGTTACAGCTATACAGCCAAGCATGAGAGAATCAGAGAGAGACAAAATGGTTAGGTAGAGGCTTAAGTCACAAATAAATGAATGAAAGCTAATAACTAAAAATGTCAGCTAGCATGTATATAATGGTTCAAGATTTGCAAGTGTATTATCTCATTTGATCCTCACAATAATCCTATGAAGTAGGTGCTATTAATATTCCCATTTTATAGATGAGGAAACAGGCTGAGGGAGGTTAAACTACTTGCTCAGAGTTACCTAGCTGCCAAGTGTCTGTGACAGAATTTGAACTCGAGTCTCCCTGAATTTAAGTTCCAGACTGCTAACCCTATGGCACCTAGCTGCCTTGAACGAAAATACAAAAAGGAGGGGGTGGGCTGGAGATGTGGAGGGGACATCAATAATAGTCAAATTAAAACAAGTCAAAACACTCAGAAGTGTGAACAAAATGTTATCAACCATACAATAGAAACCACAAATACTGCCTATTTAGGCAATAACGAGGATATTTTGAAATGCTTGTGTTTTAGGTGATTAATGCCAATGAAAAGCAAACATTCCTCTTGGTTATTTGCTCTTCCTCTCATATATTCGTTTTCACGTGGTTTCTTTGTTAAGTCCAGCTATTCATTTTTGAAACACTCGTTACTATGGCACCAGTAGAAGAGATGGCAAATGGCTATCAGGAAAAAATAGCATGCCTGCCACCTAATGGGGAAATTGAGCTGTTTCCCAGCATCAGAGTTAAGTAGGTAGGGAAATGAGAAGGCTAATAGACTGGCTAGAGCTAAGAATGAGGTTATCCAAGGAGCCTACTTTAGTGACATTTTCTGCAATCTTACTCAAATGAACTTGACTACAAGACTCTCACATGGATATGAAGCTTCGGTCAACTCATAGCCTTTTCTTCTTGTTTGTGTAGCTATAAGAATATAAAAGGGGACTGTAGCACTATAAATTGTTCAGTATTGTGAATCATCAATATCCTTCTACCATGTGAATGGTTTTGTAAAATGACATAGAGATTTCAAAGCCTCTCCCTACACCGTGCCTCCTCATCGCATTCTGCTTATTGACCTCATTCAAGAAAAATGCTACAAATTAGATTTTTCCAGTAAAAGACTTGAATATTAATTAATTATCCTTTGTTTTCCTCCACGTAGGTCTTGAAACGGCAGGGCTATGATGCAGCTTGCGATATCTGGAGCTTAGGGATCCTTTTATATACAATGCTTGCAGGGTAAGTAGACACCTTCTTTGGCAAGAAGTAGCAAGTTGGGATATGCCTGGCAGGAGGGTGTGTGGGCTGATTTTTAGCTCATGTGCTTGAAACTACTGCAAAACCAACATCTACACACCCCTTTCCATCTCTTACCTCTCTCCTCTCCTCAGAGACAACACATGCCCATAAACGCTCAAGGCCTTTTTAGATGGAATCCCACCCCCTTTCGTTCTTCCCTCCTGTACCCTAGCCAACCCACCACTACCACAATAGAAGGATAAAAAACATTGGGCTCTTACCTTTGGAAGCTTTCCTGTCTTATTTTGTGCCAATAAGAGAGATTATAGGATTTAGACCTGAGAGGAAACTTAGAGATCACCTAGCCAGGGGTTCTTCACCTGAGGTCCATGAATTTTCTGTAATGTTTTTCATAACTACATTTTAATATAAATGTTTGTATTTTTTGTGCATTTGAAAACATTATTCTGAGAAGAGGTCTGCCAGATTGCCAAAGGACTCCATGACATAGACAAAAAAGTTAAAAATTTCTGATCTAGTTCAACCCAGTCAGTATACATATGAGGAAACTGAGAACCAAAAATGTACAGTGACTTGCCCAAGGTCACACAAGTAGAGTAACAATTATTGTTGTTGTTCAGTTGTTTATCAGGCATGTCTGACTCTCCGTGACCCCATTTGGGGTTTTCTTGACAAAGATACTAGAGTGGTTTGCCGTTTCCTTCTCCAACTCATTTTTACAGATGGGAAAACTGAGGCAAACAGGGTTAAGTGATTTCCTTGGGGGTCACACAGCTAGTTAGTGTCTGAGGTCAGATTCAAACTTATAAAGGTAAGTCCTCCTGACTCCAGGCACAGTACCCTATGCACTATGGCGCCACCTAGTGCCCAAGGAGCAACTGTAGTCTCTCCTGAAAGCCTTTTAATGTCAGTCTGGGTATCAGGACACCAATCTAACTTTGCTGTCAGCTCACTTTAGAGCATCATTTTTCTCCTTTGAGGGTTCAGTTAAATAATCCTTGATTTCCCTTTCCAGCTTTAAAGTTCCATGACCTGTCACTTTTTCTCTTACTTTTTTTTCAATCTGTGGAGTACGTGAATCAAACAAAACATCCAATGAACAAAGCATTTGGACTACCCACTCCTATGTCACAAATGTGCAAAAATATCTCAACAGGGCAGAAGAAAGAAATGAATTCATCCTCCAAATAAAAGTACAAGCTTTGTCTTCTAGTGGTCTCTTTCATCTAAATTTTCCTTGTACCTTGCTTGTTTGTGTCTAATTAATGAAGTAGGCACACAGTGGAATATAAGTTCTTTGGAGACAGGAACTGTCTATAAAGCCTATATAGGTGGCACAGTGGGCAGAGCGCCAGAACTAGAGTCAGGAAGACTCATCTTCCTGAGTTCAAATCTGGCTTCAGATACTTACTAAAAGCTGTGTGACCCTGGGCAAGTCACTTAGCCCTATTTGCCTCAGTTTCCTCATCTGTAAAATGAGTTGGAGAAGGAAATAGCAAACCACTCTAATATCTTTGCCAAGAAAACCCCAAATGAAGTCATGAAAAATCATACACAACTAAAAAAGGACTGAACAACAAGCCCCAGCACCTAGTGAAGAACCTCTCACAAAGTAGCCGCCTAATAAACCATTAATTGAATAAATCATATAAACCAAAGCATGGATCCTAGAGTCATACTTTTAAAATCCCTAGATTAGACTAGTGCATTGAATGGCAGAAAATGTGGGTTTTCTGCCTGACTTCTTACCAAAAGGATCCTCAGCATATAACATAACCTCTTCTCTCATCTTCACTGTTTTTTTTATAAAACGGAAATATTCAACATCACACTGAAATAAGGTACATCAAGGAAAATCAGGATGACTTTATATGGATGCAAGTAGTAACCTGATCTGCCAGAAAGGAAGCTGGAGAAATAACTCAAGAAAGGCCTGTACCTGAGGTCCTTTAAAAATGATTATTCTTGTAACACAGGGTACTGTTCTTCAAGAATAAACATCTTAAACTCTGGAAAGGAACTTTGTTACCCTAAGTTTCATTCACGTCACAGGTTCACTCCTTTTGCAAATGGACCAGATGACACTCCTGAAGAAATCTTGGCAAGGATCGGTAGTGGGAAATATGCACTTTCAGGAGGAAATTGGGATTCTGTATCTGATGCTGCAAAAGTAAGTAAAAATTAAAACAGGAAAATGATAAATGTTGGAGAAGATGTGGGAAAATTGGAGCACTAATGCATTGTTGGTGGAGTTGTGAAATGATCCAACCATTTTGGAGAATAATTTGGAACTATACCCAAAGAGCTATAAAAATGTGCATACCCTTTGACCCAGCAATAGCACTGCTAGGGCTATATCCCAAAGAGATCATACAAATGGGAAAAGGACCCACATGTACAAAAATATTCACAGCAGCTCTTTTTGTGGTGGCAAAGAATTGGAAATTGAAAGGATGCCCATCCATTGGGGAATGGCTGAGCAAGTTGTGGTATATGAATGTAATGGAATATTATTGTGCTATAAGAAATGATGAACAGGCTGACTTCAGAAAAACTTGGAAAGACTTGTATGATCTGATGCTGAATGAAGTGAGCAGAACCAAGAGAATGTTGTACACAATAACAGCCATGTTGTGCGATGACTAATATTGATAAACTTAACCCTTCTCAGCAATACAAGAATCTAAGACAGCTGCAGAAGCCTAGTGATGGAAAATGCTATCCACATCCAAAGAAAGAACTATGGAAGTTGAATCACTATCTTTCTTTTTTCTCTTCTATTGAGTTTTGTTTCCTCTTTCTGATGGTTCCTCCTATTGGTTTTAATTTTTACTTACAACTTCACTAATGTGATAATATGCTTAATAGGAATGTAAATGTATAGCCTATATCAGATTGTGTGCCATCTTGGGAAGGGTGGTGGGGAGGAAGGGGGAGAAAAATTTTAAACTCAAAAGCATATGGAAGTGATTGTTGATAAATCAAAATAAATTGATAATATAAATTTTTTAAAAAGTAAGTAAAAACTTCATTTGCAAACCTACCCGCACATGCTTCAATAACAAGTTCCTTTATGATGATGATGATGATAATAATAATAATAATAATAATAATAATAATAGCTAACATTTATATAGCATTCACTGTTTGTCAGGTACAGTGCTAAGGGCTTTACAATTATTATCTCATTTACTGGACGGTAGGTGCTATTATTATCCCCATTTTACTGATGAGGAAATTGAGGCAGACAGAAGTTAAATGACTTGCCCAGGGTCACCCAGCTAGTAAGTGTGCAAGGCTATATAGATATATAGATATGTACATACATACATACATATGCATATTATGCACATGAATAGAATAAGTGCCTAATTACTCAGGGCATTAGGATGTGATAGAGTATCTTTTTAAATTTTTTCATTTTAGACAAGTGCTAAAACTTAAACACGTAATAAGAAAAGATAAAGAAACATTATAAACTTAAATATAAAATAAGAAAGTAAAAAAAAATGTCACATGCATAATGAAACATAGGAGAGGATTCAAAATATATAGCAATAACTTTTCATTTAAAGAAAGCCTGTATATTAAATGCTGTGCATTATGTTGAAAACTGTCCATCTTTTCTTTGCTTCCTTGTAGGTTTTCTTTTGTTCTCTGCTGTACACTTTTTACTTTGTTCAGATACAGTATTTTTAAATGGCAATAAATCCTTTCTTGACTGTTACCTGCCTAATTTCTTTTGGGCCCAGTCTCATTTTTTCCAGACTTCAGAATTGAGGGCTATGTTAATTGATTTCAGTCAGTTCATATCCAATCAAAAAGTCCCTGATACAGTATATTGCAGTTATGTGGAAGGGTGGGTAGAGCATTGGATGTGGGGTCAGGAACACCTGAATTTGAATCCTACCTCAGATCTTACTAGCCGTGTGACCATAATCAAATTCTAAAGGTCTCAATTTCCTTATCCACAAAATGAGGATAATAATAGTACCTACCTGACAGGGATGTCAACAGGATCAAATGAGGTAATTTACATAAATGAGATAAATGATGAGATATATATATATATATATATATATATATATATATATATATATACATAAATCTTTGCAAACTTTATACTGCTTTATGAATGTTAGCTATGATGATGATGATGATGATGATGTAAGCTATCTCTGCCATTAGAGGGACTTATAATGTAAGAAGTAGAACCTGGGTTGGGCTTTAAAGGGATGAGTAAGTTTGGCTGGATGAAGATAATTTGTGTGGTTTCACTGTTTGAATGTAGAGCATTTGTATAATATTTTTGTTGTTCAGTTGTTTTCTGTTGTGTCCAACTCTTTGTGACCCCATTTGGGGTTTTCTTGGCAAAGATACTAGAATGGTTTGCCATTTCCTTCTCCAGCTCATTTTACAGATGAGGAAACTGAGGCACACAAGTTTAGGTGACTTGAATAGGGTCCCACAGCTAGAAGTTTCTGAGACCTGATTAGAATTCAGGTCTGCTTGATTCCAGGCCCAGCACTCTATCCATTGTGCCACCGAGTTGCCCTAACATTTTACAGGGGGAAAGCTTTCAAGTGTTACCTCATTTGATCCTCATAATCACCCTTTGAGATAAGTAAGACAAGAAGCTAAGTGACTTGCCCAAGGTTGCTGAGACTCAACCACGGGTCTTTAGATGACAAGTCTCTGAAGCCCTTTCCAATTCTGAGGCTCTGTTACTGTATCTCATGGTAGAAACACTAGACTTAGGAGTCAAGGGATTTCTAATGCTCCCCAACTTCTGCGATCTTGAACAAGACATCTGCGTTCCATGTTAGCAATTTCCCCATCAGTAAAATGGGAATAAGAATGTTCCTTTTAGCTATCTTCTTCAAGATATTGTCAGAAATTTAGACTCTAAGAAACAAAAAAGAATTTTGAATTCTTTGGAAGAAAGATGTGGAAATGAGAAGTGTTGTTATATTGTTCATTATGTACTAGTTCACTGTACAAAGTATATTCATTTACAAATTATTTAAGGATATTATTAAAGTGGCCTTATACATTTTATTTAACTTTTAAGTTTGTCATTCACAATTCCCATTTGGTGGGAATTCTTGCAAATCTCCTTGATTAGTTATTAAAGGCAGATCTCTGTTTAAATAAGTATTGAGGATTCGTTGTTTGTTATTTAAGAACTAAAAGAAGAAAAAGCATTGAATTTAGACATATTGGATCTGCAACATAGATCTGCTATCATTAGCATACTTGATATTTGTTGGCAATCATTATAATCATTGATGAATCATGGTGCTTTAAAAGCATGAATATACTTGGTTTACATGAATTGTTACATATTTCTTTAACTGTGGAAGGTGCTGATTTGTATCCGTGCTGATATTTACTATTTCAGGCTTGGATCTGTGGACCAAACAGGTTTGTATTTCTATAATATTTGAGCAATTTACAAGAATTGTTTTATGTATCAGCTTTATGGTCTTAATTGCTTTATAAAATATCAGCATAGTGGTTGAGTCGACTGAAGATTTTTTTTTATCATACATACATTTCTGAATACTAAAGAGTTTGTATCAAACTCATATACGTGGTGAGATGACCCACAAGAGAGAAAGGCAATTAGTACAGCTTCTTGAACCCAACTCCTTTTCTTTTCTCATTGTTTCCTTTTCTTTTTTCATCACAGGATGTTGTATCCAAGATGCTTCATGTGGACCCCCATCAGCGCCTAACTGCAGCCCAAGTACTGAGACATCCATGGATCGTAAACAGGGACTACTTATCTCAAAACCAGCTCAGCCGACAGGACGTCCACTTGGTGAAGGTAGAGTTTTAGAATCAAAGAATATCAGAGCTGGTCAAAGACCTTAGGAATGTCTTCCAGTCCAACCTCTTCTCATTTTACAAAAAAGGAGACTGACCCCAAGGAAATGAAATTACTCATCCAGGGTCATAGCTATTTAGTAGCAAAGCTGGTAATATAGGGCAAGTCAGCTGATTCCAAGTCCAGTGCTTTGTTAACTAAACTTCTCTCAGGGTATAGGATGTTCAGTTCAATTCTATGAGTATTTATTATCTGCTGTACATGAGGCAAAAGTCAATGTGATGTAGTAGCTGGCCTTAGAGTCAGGAAAACCTGGGACCTGACTTTAAAATGTTAGCTGGGTAGCCATGGGTGAATCAATTAACCTCTCAGTGCCACCAGGCAACTCTTTAAAACTAAAGAAGAGATATTGATTGGCTAGGTGGAGGAAGCTTCCATACCAGTAGTTCCCAGACCCAGGTTCCCTTCTTCCCCCACCAAAAAAAAAATACTATACAAGAAACTGTGCTAGGTATTAAGGAACAGGGAAGGAAGGGAAGAAGGGAGAAAGGAAGGAAGGAAAGGAGGAAGGGGAAGGAAGGAAGAGAAAGAAAGGAAGGAGAGAAGAGAGGGAGGAAGAAAGGAAAGGAAGAAGGAATGGAGGGAGGGAGGGAAGGAGGGAAAGAAGGAAGGAGGAAGGAGGGAGGGAAGAAGACAGTCCCTACTCTCAAGTAGCTTATATGCTACAGAGAATGAGATGCAATATGCACAATGATTAGTAAATACGATGTGTTTTGAGAAATGGGAAAGCATTAATAACTGGAAGGGATCAAGACAAGCTTCAATATCTCAACTGTGTCTTGAAGGAAAATAAAGAGTATGAGTAGGGGTAAGGATAGAGTGCATTCCAGGTATGAGGAATAGCTCATACAAAGCACAAGAAATAGACAACCAAGTTCTAGAATAAGGTAGTCTGCTTTGTCTAGAATATAGACTGTGTGAAGGGGCATAGGAGAAATAAGTCTGGAAAGTAAGGTTGGAAGAGGGGCAGAAATAGGAGTGGTCTTGGGAAGCACAGAGAAATATTGTCCTGGTAACTCCTGCTCTTCAAATAATCAAGACAATAAAAATTAAAATGAAATGTAGACACATATATCATAAAAACAGAAACAGAAGGCACTGCATATGAATCAGTTCTGGCATCTATTAACATTTTATAGTAGGGTACCATTCAGAGTCCCAAACCCTACAGTTCTAGGCCATTATCTAGGCACTCAACATCCCTATCAAAATTAGTGTCACATGAAGGTAGTGCAGGCTATTGAGAAGTAACCTTCCTCTTTAATAGGATTATTCCACTTCCCCCTACCTTTCCTTTTTAAGCAAGATATTATGGATACTAGTATAAATGCTGAAAAAACCCAAGGCATTTTAAAGATGTATATATGTGAATATAAAAAAAAGAAAAAGAGCTAGAATCCACACTGACAAATCTACCATGCCTTTTCTCAGCAACAATGTCATCTTCCCAGAGAGTGAAAATGGAGGACCCAGGCATTGCCTTCAGCCTATTAATTTTGCCCACTAATGATGAAACTAATAGGAACAAAAAAAAACCCTCTTGAGAGGGACTCTTTGGTTAGAGAATATTTGCTCCTGAGAGTGCCATTAAAAATGTGCTGCTCAGCTAATATCTAGTGAGCAAGTGAATGTCAGAGTTTTATATTGCTAGTAACAGCCCTGCTGCTTTGAAGCAGTAATAATGAGCAGTGTAATGAGGAACAGAGTAAAAAAAAAATAAACAAATTTTTTAAACCTCTTGAAAATTTCTCTCCTAGTAGATTTTCCCATGTGATTCCATTTATGGTCTTATCAATATAACTGTAGTTTTATATTTCCCTACTATTCAATCCTATCTGTCTCATGCTTTTACATTCCCTGCCTCCCATCCCTGGAATGCTGTCCCTCCACACTTGCACTTCTCAGTATTCCTGGTTTCCTTGTGGATACACCACAAAGGTTACCTTCTTCAGGAGGTCTTTCCTGGTCCTTCCCTTCTAAGATTACTGCCATCTACTCTGTGTGGATCTTGTATGTACCTATTTGGGCAGCTAAGTGGTGAAGTGGATAGAGTGCAGGACCTGAAATCAGGAAGACTCATCTTCCTGAGTTCAAATATGGCCTCAGACACTAGCTGTGTGACCCTGGGCAAGTCACTTAACCCTGTTTGCCTCAGTTCTTCATCTGTAAAATGAACTGTAGAAGGAAATGGCAAGCCATTCCAGTATTTCTGCCAAGAAACCCCCAAATGGGGTCACAAAGAGTTGGACATGACTGACAAAATAACTGAACAATAGACTTATTTATTTGCATCTTGCCTCCTCCATTAATGTGCTCTCCTTGAGAGCACACTGTGTTGCCTTTCTTGTATACCCAGCGCTTAGCTCAGTGACTGGTATATAGTAAGACATTATAATCCGACAGCTATTTCCTTTTAGGTAGGGAAAACATAAAACACTGTACAAGTTTTCTTTACATGATTCTTTGTGTTACCTTCCCTTACAAAATATACTGACAAAGGCCATGTATTCTGAGATTAGTATACCTTGTAAAGCAAGGCCACATTTGGAAAGCTTCATTTGAAAAGAGCCTGACTATAACATAAAAGATCATGGAACATGTAGCTAGAGTAGACAATTAAAGATCATTTATTCCAACCCTGTCTCCTTATAGAGAAAACTGAGATCCAGAGAGATCATAGCTTTCCAGTGGTCATCTAGGTAATAAGTAATATAACTAGTATTCAAAGCTGAGTCTTCTGATGCCAGATTCAATGCCCTTTCCATTGTAAGACTGAGGGGATTGAAGGAGAAAACCCTGACTCCCTTTTGTACTCACAGGGACCTCACTGTTAGCATCCACATTCTCACCTCATTTTCAGCAATCCCAAGACTTCTTTGACAATGCAAAGTGGCATCTTCTCACATATACACAAAAAGTTTATGTTATTCTAGTCTAAATTATCGCCTTGGTACTAATAACTCACATTTAGTTAGTGTTTCAAAATTTACAGAACACTTTCCTAACAACAACCCTGTGAGGTAGGTAAAGACACAATGTCTGGTTTAAAGCATTTGAAGGGGTACCATGTAGAAGAAGAATGACTTGTTCTCTTTGCCCCAACACGGCACAACCAGCAGAAATGTGTAAACAGATATTGGCTTGGTATAAGGAAAAACTAATCCTAGCTAGTAATAGCTAATATTCATATAGAGTTTTAAGGTTCTTTACAAATATTATCTCATTTGATCCTCACAACAACCCTGTGAGATAGGTCCTATTATTTATCTCCATTTTACAGATAAAGAAACTGAGGTAGTTAATGGTTATGTGACTTGCTCAGGCACCCAAAGCTAGAAAGAGTCTGAGATCAAATTTTAACTCAGGACTCTCTGTCTCTAGGTCCAACATTCTATCTATCAACTGAGCCACCTAACTAATAGTCAGAACTCTAAGAGTAGATTAGGGTGCCTCAGTACATAGAGGATTCTCCTCCCTGGAGATCTTCAAATAGAAGGTGAGTGACTTCTTGTCAAGGATGTTGCAAAGAGGTTTCTAAATCAAATATAATGACTTCAAACTTCATGACTTTTGCCTACTGTGAGGTTCTGTGACATCTCCATTATAGAATTATAAGTGAGATTTGGTACTTTACTTGCTAATCACATAACTAATAAATAGACCCAGAATTTCAAAATTTTTCTGAATATAAGTCTAGTGTTCTTTCTACAAAACCCGTAATTATCTAAGAATAACTCAACAAGAAAAATGATGGTTTGCCTTACACACTGACCCGAACAGCTGTCTCCTGTCATAGCCTCAGGAATGTGGGGTTTTTTTAAGTATTTTCCTAGAAAATCCAGCACCCTCTAGCCATCCAATGGAAAAGCCAGTTCCAAAGCCATACCAAGGACTGGTCAGATCTCTAAAATAGCACAGAACCACTCAAAGCAACAACTTACAAAGTCAGCAAAATACAGTGGTTTCTGATAACTACTTTCTCTGAGCTAGTGATTACTCAAAAGCTAGCTCAGTTTAAGTCAGTTCAACAAACAGAACTTCACCCCAAACTCACCCACTAGTACAGAACTGGTCAGCCTTCCGAAATTCAAAGCCCAGATAATCATCAATCAGTATGCACGTTTGTTGGTGCATGATGCATGGGTCTATAGCATTGCCCTCCCTGTCCCTCATGACAACCAAGCGAAGGAGAAATGGAATGATAGAGGAATGTTGGTGAGTTTTTCCTAGGTCCTTCATCCCTTCTCTTTCTATATTGTCTTACAGGGTGCGATGGCTGCCACGTACTTGGCTTTAAACCGAACCCCTCAGGCACCAAGATTGGAGCCTGTATTATCCTCCAACCTGGCTCAGCACAGGGGCATGAAGAGACTTACATCAACAAGGTTGTAGCAGGCGATCAAGAGCACCTACTCACAAACCCGACAGCTCCTCCCCAGAGAGGTCCGTCTTTGTCACTCAGCTCCTGGACTCTTGGGTAGCGCACGTGAGCATTGCTGGAATGACCAGAAGTCCAACATAAGGCAGCACTCTCCCTTGCCTCCTTTCATTTCCTTTTCCAGCCCTGAACAGGACTCTGACTTACTGACTTCTCAAAGCTGTGCTGTGCCAACATTACCAACTGCTCTGCTTCCTTATTCCCAAGTAAAACCAAATGAATTCATTTCCTCAGAATCATTCTAGAGCTCTTCAGGATTCTATGAGAACCTGTAAATGCCTATATTAGTCTTATTCTTTTCATCAAAATAATTTTTAAAAGTGTTTTAAAGAGACACTTTTTGATTGAAAGGCCAATGATCTGAGCCCACAATTTACTGCCTTACCAGCTAATATGCATAGAATTAAAAAAAAAAAACATTGTCCAAATACATTAATCAATAATCCACTGATGTTCATTTCCAAAAGGGAAAAGGCTACTAAAGTATCCCTTTCAGATTTCCAATTGGCTGGATAATGCCATGTGCATTTTGGCATCTAGGGATAGATACCTATTTGCATTCATAGAAACCCAAGGTATTACTTTTCTGTCTGCTCTCCTCCCATTTTGATTGAGGTGGTTTATAATGTCCCTCTTTCTCTTTCCAAATTAAAAGGGGAGAAAAAAGCCTACCTAAGGCATAAATGAGGCCACCAAGAAGATAATATTTGGCCTTCATGTACCAATTTCACTAAAATGAAGAAAATAAACTCCTTAGAAAGAGGCGTAGGAAAAAACCTATGTTCCCTCTCAATTTTCTTATTTCTACAACCCTTAGCTCTTGGTAGACAAAAAGGCCAATTAAGGATTTAGAGAGAGCTTTGGGTTTTTGTTTCCCTATGAGATAATTTTCCGCTCCCTGTGCTTTAAAAAAAAAAGCAGTCTATTTGCTGTTTGCTTTCATTTTCAGCTCTAAGAAAAAAACTGTGACTATTGAGAAAATTGAGCTCTGATATCCCTGCCCCAGATTCTGTTGGCTGAGTCAATGCCTCTCTTAAGTCCAACTGGAATCAGGAGGTATACCATTAAGGCCTTCCACTCCCTTGCCCTAAAGAAGCAGGGGGGGAGGAAAAGGGAGACAGAACAAGAGGATGCATTAACAGTAGTGATGCACTTTTTAGGAATTGTGTTTTTGTGTTGAATGTTATGTTTCTGTTGGGTAGGTCTATTTTTAAATCACTGTTTGACATTTTAATAATTTAAATGCTATTTAAATGTTTGACTTAATGTGCTGTGCACATGGGGGGGGTGGCAGCTAAGGGTGGGGGGAAGGGTTGGAATAAGAGCTTCGATGTGCTGACCTTTGCCAAATCAAACAATGCTGTGAAATGAAAGTCACCAGGCAAAAGACCCAGCACAAACAGGCAGTTGTTGGGAAAGTAGACCTAAGTGTTATTTCCTGTCCCTAAGGATCCCTGTGGGCCCCACTTAGTCCAGTGTGTTCTCAGTCCAGTAACTCAGTTCAGCAGAGTTGCAAGAGAAAAAAAAAAGTACTTTACCTGTTTCTTCATCTTGCCTTTTTATTTTCTGTACATTTACTGAAGCCAGACAACTTGTTTGATGGTAACTATGAGAAGATCCAAGTTGGTAGTGAATGCAACCTTTCTTCTGAGCTTAATTGTCGATGTCAATGTAATTTCATCTAAATGACACCATTTGTTTCATTTCTTACCACCACCCCCACTTACATCCACGCCCATCTAACTCCATGATTAAGGTATGTGCCAAGTTCAGAAAAATGCTAACTCCTGCCAGTTACTTTCTGAACTTGAAAAATAAACTTACTTAATAAATAACCTTTGATTATTATGTTAGATTTCATTGTTTGTAGATCACAAACAAAAACATTCAAGTCTTTCTTATTGTTCCCATGTCTTCTATTATTCTCATAAGGTGTTTTTCATTGTTTCTTCAATGGGCTACTAGACAGAGAAGCTTGGGTATTGCTTGATGATTTTCCCCCTGCTTCAAAAAAAAAAAATGAAGGTAGTAGACCTCAGCCTCCAATGTCTTTCTCTGTGTTGGTCTTAAAATTGATGTCTGTTTCTTTTGTTATTGAGGATTTTTAAGATTCCTTGGCTGTTAAACCAAGTGATTTTTGTCACTTCTTTTGGGGGTTTCAAAAAGTTGAGGCAGGAAGAAATGAATGATATAGTACCATTCACATGTGGTGAAAGCATGTTCCATATAACTTTACCAGCTAAAAACTTTGGGTGTTTTTTTTTAATTCATACAGATTCGTGTGTCTTTATACACTGAACTGAAATGATCCCAGAGGCATTGATATTGTCTGCTACTGCTATAGCATAGAAGAACCTGCTTAATACTACTTCATGAATTAGCATACACCACATTGCATAATGTGTATTAACAGAAGGAAACACCCTATTACACCAGCTGCTAAGTAGGTGTTTGATTCTGTTATAACCAAATCCAGTTGGATGGCTAGAAAGCACACCCAGTTTTTGAAACTCTTATCCAAAATAAATGAGTACTTAAGCTCATTTGACAGAAAGTCAGAAAAGATTTTCTTTTCCCCTTAGCAATGGGCATCCCACAACTCAGCTAAGATGTGCTACATTTGCACAGTGAATGCTTTAAAGGCAGAAAAGGGTGAATAACTAAGTTCATTTACAAGCACAGATGCAGTACTGCCCTTCTTGTACTAGAGTAGTGTTTTCTTTCACCCTTAGTATGCCCATTTTTTTAAATATCCAAACAACTATTTCATTTAATTCCAGCAAAACTAGCCCATGCAGACAGTATCAGCTCCAAATCAAGATAGCCCAAAAACAAACAAAAACAGAAATTTTCTTATCCTTAAGTCTGATGCTTAACATGTTTTTTTCCTACCTTTATGCATGTGTTGATTTTACGTGAATGATAGTACTTAAGGTTAAGCCAGTATTGTTAATTAAATGGTATTATCCTTAAAATTACACAAAGGGATTTTGCCTTCTGTTTTGTTGATTCTTGTTGCACATCATAAGGACTTCATTTGCACGCCACTCTATTTCTGAGATGGTTCTATGTTCTCCCTGCCTCTCACCTCTCAGTGTAATAAAAAGTCTCAGAAAGAACAAGAAGGTGACAAAATGTAACATTTCAGAAGGCCAGGAATCAGATGGCAATCAATGCTTTTAGGCTCACTTCTAACTAGTAGGTTGAACAATGAAATCTCTGGACATGTATGTGTGTGTTAATTAGTATTTAACAGCTTTTCTACTTAGATATCATGACCCAGCACTTTGTTTACAGGTTCAGTATCTATGTTTACAAATCATTTTTATGTTCACGCTTTCTATTTTGTTTGAAATGAGCAGTCACTGTACAGATATTTATTACGCTTTCCAGAGTTTTCTGAATAGATTTTTTTTGAATAAACATGGGTTTTATGAAGTGTAATATTTTTATAGCATAACAACCTTTGGACTTTCTATATTGCTCCCAACAATGGTCTGTGGATAAGCTTCTTGCCACCTTTTCTCCTCGCACTGTTTTCAGTGCTGCTGCTGGTGTCAGCTGCTGTGATGTAGCATCCTCAAGGGGTAGATGGTACTGTATTGTGAAACCGTCTGAACTAAGAACTCTCTGTGTGTATGTGTGTATGCGGGTTGCATGATGAAGGACACTGGTAGAATAAGATGAACAGTCTGACTGTACAGTGGGGCAAGAGCTCACAGGGGCAGGCTGCTGGGGAGAATCCTCATTGTATCCTTCTTCTGTACTCTGCCATTTTGGCTTGGCATGCACATCCCTTCTTTATAAAGAAATAAAACAAAATTCTATGCTGTTTGTTTTGGGCTATCTGCATTCATTTTTCACTTGGCAAATGTGTAACCAATTTGTGTTAACAAACTTGCTTAAAACACACGCCACCTTGGGTTTTGCCCACTCTGTAGCAGAGTAAGAGTTGGGCATTACCAGGGAGAGCTTCTAGAGCAAAGGATCTTATTTCTTATAGGAATCTGGTGAAACCTGTGCATATCTTCTCAGGAGAAGGTTTTTAAATCATTGAAGGAAATGATCAATTTTATTTAGAAGTTAGGGAAAATAAAGATGCATTTTTTTCCTATCCATGTTCACAAGTCCTCTGAGCTCTATCCTCAGATCTCTCAGGACCCAGGTGTAGGGTCCTTTAGGGAGCCCATAAAACATAAAAGAAACAGTGTCTAATAGAGATACCCAAGGGATATTCTGTAGATATTAACTTATATTAATACTTATCTCATAAGCTGAAGTTGATTTTGACTCAAGACAAGTCTCTTTGAAGTCCAGAAAGGAAGAAATACTGTGATCTTAATTGTTTAAATATGTAATCAAGATCTCCATACACAGGCCTATACACCCATATATGTGTGTGTGTTTATGTGAATATATGTAATATATATACACATATACATATTCAAACAATGTATATATATGTGCAATATATATGTATCTCAAGGCTGATGTTTTTATGATATGCATACTCAAAGGGTATATTGTTCAGTTGTTTTAAGATATGTCTAACTCTTCATGTAATTCTAACTATGTTATATCATATACATATTTACCCTTTATGGGGCAACTAGGCCTAGTGGATAGAGGGCCAGGACTATAGTCAGGAAGACTCATCTTCCTGAGTTCAAAACTGGCTTCAGGCACTTACTAGCTGTATGACCCTGTTCAAGTCACCTAACTCTTTTTGCCTCTGTTCCTCATCTGTAAAATGATCTGGAAAAGGAAATAGCAAACCATTGTAGTATCTTTGCCAAAAAAAAAAAAAACCCAAATGGGGTCATGAAGAGTTGGACATATATATACATGTACCCTCCCTTCAGATTAGAAAAGAATTCTTTCTTCTCTTCCCACTTTAGTTACTTGTCACTGATAGTCATTTACACAATGGCATAAAACAACAAGGGCTTGTGGAGATCTTCACTTTGAGGTTCAAATGAAGAGCAAACTGCCTTGAATCCAACGTGATAAATGAAATCTTAAGGCTACAAGGAAACTAAGCTGTCCTCAAACAGGTAAATTTAAAGAGGGACCTTACTTTAAAAGATGTCTATAGAAAGAGATACTACTCCTTTACAGAATTTGTTCTAGTATTTTCAGCCATATCAACAAAATTTTCATATTAAGATCCCTAAAAAATGCTTTCTAGATCCTTCTGACCTTTCCAAAGTGAAAATGGGGAAATTTATTCCGTATGACATTCTCCATATAGTTGAAAACCATGATTTCACAGTTTAGTCTTTCCTGCTTCAAATCAATTCATTCCAGATATTTTTTTTTCCAAAATCTTTTACATTCTTTTCTAAGTTATTTTCAGGAGCTCCATATCCCACTCTAGTTATGGAGCTTAGAACAAAATATAGTTTTCTCTAGTATCTAAAAAGTTATTTCATTAAGATGTCCAAATCAAGTACCCAGGAAAAGGTTGGTACAATATTTAAAAGACTGTCAACCAGTGATCCAAGTCCAGAAAATTATTCCCAGAAGATTGGTTCTGAATCAGGCAAGCCCTGAGGATCTTGGGATCACTATGACTAGAACCTCCCAGGCTATTAAAAACCTGATTATATTGTCTTAATAGATGTCATGGAATTTAGTGTTAAAAAGGGGGCTCAAAGATCTCTTCATTTTAAAGACAGGAAAAGTGAGGCCCAGAGAGGGGAAATTATTTGCTCAAGGTCACATAGTAAATGGTAGAACTGGGATTTGAACCCAGACTCCTCTCCAAATTCAGTGTTCTTTCCATTATACTCAAGTGGCCAGGGTAGAAGCTCAGTACTCCATAAGAAGTACTCCAGAAAGTCCACCAGAAGTGACCAGAGTGTAAGTTCAACTCTATTATAGCCCCATAGGCAAATCCTCAGGCATGTTCTGTGGCATGTGATCCAAAGCTCCCCTGCACATACTTTGTCCTAGGATCTGTAGGATGATGTGAAGGCAGTAAAGAAGAAAAAAACAGCAATACCATCCTTACTCATCAATGTCCCAGGAAGCTTTGAAATGCCCTAGGAAACAAGAATGTGAGGGAAAACTGAGGAATGCAGTAACATAGAGGTAGACTTTCCAAGCAGGTATTCTCTATCATGTACTCATATGACAGTAATCAACTACATACTCACACACACACATATGCTATGGGGTGGTCTGCTACTTGACTTGTTACCATGTTCATTCTCATCATCCTTAGTTCTAAGGCATATTTGGCAATTTTTTAATTCCTAAAATTGCAATCTTTTTCTAATTAATCAGATCTGAACCTTCCTCCTAATCTATTAAAAAACTAGAGAAACCATTTTTCCCATAAGCAGTTGTATGTGTGTATGTGTGCACATATATAATATATATATATATATATATATATATATATATATATATATATATATATATATATGTACAGATACACACACACACACATCAAAATCCCCTAACCTCCTAGGCTTAAGGAAACACCAACATTATTGGATATACAATTTATTAACAAAGTAGTAAATACCACAAGCATAAAAATTATTTACAGTATTTTGACTTTGAGAAGAATCACTTCTGAAACACAGTCCTACTATGAAATTCCACTGAATAACATCCAAAGTCACTCAACTATTTTCTTTGTTCACAACAAAAAGACTGAATTCAATCCTTCCATTAAGTGATCTCTTTTTTCTGTCCTCTCACAGTCTCTCTAGACATAACAGGAAAACAGTCTCCTCATAGATGACAGTTAAAACCCAATCGTTTTGCAAATAGCAGTTAATACTCTCCATTTCCTCACAGATTCTTCATGGAACAAAGCTAAAATTTTCCCTCTTCCCCATTGATTCTTTGGGAAATGTAAGGTAAACAGCCACTCTTCAAGATTTCAACGCTTCTTAAAGTGACAGTAACCATTTCTCTAGTGTCTATAGGAGACATTATTGGAGTGGCTATTATACTCAGATCCCTTAAAAGAACAGCATAAATTCTCCTGGAAACCAGTCAGTCAGTAGGGAAGCTTTTTGATACAGCATTTCACAAAGATAACTTCCATGTTATTGGGATCCCCACAGTGTTAATTTGCCCGTTTCCTAGTCTTGACCATTTTCATGAAATCTCTGAATTTCCCTTACAAGAATTCCTGCATTGCCCAAAGCCCTGCAATAGTCCTACACTGCATGCACACCTCCCTGCCTGCTGCTCCCATTCCCTGGGGTCTTCCCTCTCATTCCAAATAGCAGCATGTAATTCAAGCTGACCATTACCTTCCAAAAGGTTCTGATACTAAAGACCACAAATGATCTACGGGATGTGAGAAACCCATTCCTTATTACCCTTTCAGTTGGCATGTCAAGTGTACGTTAAGCTATTGTACTCTATTTCATATGTCACCATATCAGTCTACATTCAGAGTTGTCCTCTAATAAGGTATAATTAGAAAAGCACTAACTTCTCCTTGCCCAAAACATCTTCCCCCTATTGGCAATTACATGCCCCATGAAATTTACACAACTTACTTCTCTAACATTTAATTCAACAGCATGAACTGTGTCCACTATATTCAAGGCATTATGTGAGATACAAACAGAAATAAGACAAGATTTCTGCTATCATAACTTTACAATCTAGAAGGAAAGATGGGACACATATACAAGTAACTATTATATAAGGTAAAACGAGAAAACATAATAAATTACTATGAAAATTCAAGAGAGGGAAACCACTTCTAGCTAGGGAAACTGAAAGTGATTTCAAACAGAAATATGATTGAGGAAAATAACATTGTCATTACCGAGCATTAACAACAGCTTAAATTAGTTTCCTCCTAGATGAACAGCAGGACCTTGAGGTAATGGCCCACTTACAGAAAGCATGTAAGTGTTATGGGATGGTAAGTTGGGAGGGACTGAAGAAGAGAAAACTTAGGAAAAACATGATTAACCTTGATAGATGATGAATTTTGCATACTGGAGTTCCTCAAGTGGAGATTGGGTGACCACATGTCAGGGTTGTTGTAGAGGGATATCCTACCTGAAGAGCTTCAGTGATGAAAAATTCATTACCTAGCAAGCTAAATAATTCTTCTTTTGTGCAGCTTCAACTTTTAGGTTTTTTCTTGGTTGAGTTAAAATCTATTTCTCTACCATTTCCACCAGTTTTCCGTATTTCTGCTATCTGGGGGGTCAAGAAAGGCAAGTTTAAACCCATTCCATAGAATATACTTCAAATACTTGATAATAGCCATCATGGGAGTGGGGGCAGCTAAGTGGCACAGTGGATAGTGCACCGGCCCTGAAGTCAGGATACCTAAGTTCAAATCTGCCTCAGACCCTTAACACATACTAGCTGTGTGACCCTAGGCAAGTCACTTAACCCCAATTGCCTCTCTCTCTCTCTCTCTTTCTCTCTCTCTCTCTCTCTCTCTCTCTCTCTCTCTCTCTCTCTCACACACACACACACACACACACACACACACACACACACACACACAAAGAATAGGGAAAAGAAAAAAGTTATGTGAGAATCTAAAACAGTGGCATCAAACTTAAACAAAAACCAAGGTTACTAATCCATACAAAAGGATTCTTGTGGCCTGCATCCAGCCCCTCATTATAATATTCATCCTCTCACTAATTGTTAACCAATCAGAGTTTATTGCCACCCTCAGGAATACCTGCTTTTCCAAGGGCATATAAATCTTGAGTCTGCTGCCATGAGGGTCTTTGGCATTCAAGAGTGCCACTGACCTTTTATTGAAAATGCTGACATTACCAATAAAATGACAAATTACCCAGAAATTATGTCTCTCAAACTTTTTAAATGCC